TATCTTTTTTGAAATTTTCTTCATAAACTTTTTTAAAGATAGACTCTCTTTCCGATAATTCTAGTTTTTAAAACATCAATTCCTCATAATTTGATGGTAATTAAGAAATTAGCCATCAATAGTTGTTTCATCTTTTACCACGACTGCACGTGTCATCTTCCTTGAATTGACTCCTCCAGTCAATCTGTGTTTGTTCCCACCAAGCTGAAACCCATTCTTTAAGCTTAAGGGCAACAAACGAAACTTGCTTGTTTTCAGGTACATCAAAATACTCAAAAAATTCTTCAACTTCTTTAAGCTAGTCCAAGACATCTTCAATAACAATGATTCCATTGGAAGTAAATAGATCAAGTTTTACATGAAATTCACTATTTCTGTTGCATCTACCTCGATCACTGAATCCGAACTCCTCATTATCTGAATAATCATCGAAATAACCCGCATATGCTGGAAGCTTACGTGGATAAACAAGAATATGACCCATATTCGGTTGGTTACGAGACACATCATCAATGCGAACTCGAACTAAACCACGAACTTGATTGCCACCAATCCTAAAACATGTTTCTACGAATCGTTCTTGAGTATGCATGGCTGCCCAAGAGGCCTTTACTCTGTGATCAACGTTGGCAAAGTGGGTGCTACCAAAACGAACAATTGTCATCAGACCAGGCTAAATCAAAGCTCTAATACTGTTACGTCAACAGAAATTATGAAGACATTCACAAGGAATATGGGTTACTTTGAATCTACAAAGTATGGTATTTTAAATCCAAAAAGTAAAAGAAAAAATTGCAAAGCAATTTAAATATTATTAATCAAATATTAAATTATGCCCTTACAATACATGAATATTTATAATAGAAAAAATTTAATACTAGAAGAAAATTATATAAATAAGTCTAAAAATAAATTCTCTCTAAAAATTAAAAAAAAAAAACAATAGAAGAAGAAATTTAATTAACCATGGCCTACAAGAATTGGCCGGGAGACTTGACCTCCTTCATCAGTACTATAGGACAAACACGTTGATGTGAAAGTCTTGTAGGCCATGGATGTAAGATAGGTGAAAACTTTTGATGAAGAAAAAAATAACCAACTTTTGATGAGCGCCGACAGAGTTGATGAAATTCTATTTGTCCTATTATTCCACGCCTTGTCATACATCTTTCCACGGTTCCACCATTCCATTGACAAGTAGGCCCGTTTGGATAAGATCCTTTTTTTTTTAACAACCATTTGGATAAGATCAAAATCTTGACATTGGTGGATATCAATAATAAGAAATTCTGAGCTGGACTCCTTATTATATTTTTTAGAATAAATTTCATTAATATAATATTTGCTCATTTGAGGTCTTGATTTTGATGTCCCGATTATTGCCTATTTGTCCAATTTTAATATAACATAAATTTTTTTGTTTAAATAATAAAGAAGTGATTTTCTCAAACTTATTTGTAGGTTCTGAATTATATTTACATTTGAATTTAAATATTATATCAAATAAATCTTAACAAATAGATTAGAGTTATGAATTTGAATAGCATCACTTTTAAATAACTCTAAAGTCCGATTTTGATATCTGAACTATTGCCTATTTGTCGATTTTTACCTTTAAAGTCCAGTTTTGATGTCCAGACCATTGTTTATTTGTCTAGGTTTAAATAATATCAGCTCATCTTTTTATCAATGTAAACCAAAAAAAGACAATTATGACACAACTGTGATGACGCACTCAATTTAAGACATACCATACGTCAGATTTAATAACAATTGAAATAAGACTAAGATCGCAATACGATTCTCAATTGCGAGACAACTATGATTGAATTAATTTTTTATTTTTTTGGGCAAACGTCATTGAATTAATTTGTATACTCAGAATCGATCACTGGGTGGAAATAACGACTTGACTATCACGTGAACATGCTAGTTTATTGAGATTGTGTCATAGAAACTATTATCATTTTTAAATTCCCAAAAAAAAAAAAAAAAAAAAAAACAGAAGAAGGTTGTATCAGTTCTAAGTGCTAGTAGTATATTTCAAAAACAAGTTCCTTGCTTAGGTCGTGATCCATGGAGAACGAATTCCCTATTAAAACTCCATTTATTTTGATGTATAATATTTTTTTTATCTCTTCATGTTTGATTATCATAAAATATTTAGAAAAAATATATATATTAAAAATTAACAAAAATATTTTACTCATCAATTTTTGACAAGTTATTTTACACTCTCTTCATCTAATGAACTCGACCTCAATTTCGATTTAGACATTTGTCAAATATAAAAATAAATAAAAAATTATTTTACCTGTATATATCTCTTTTCCTAAATATTTATCACTGTATTCTTCTCTGAAATGCACTTCTATCCCATATCAATCCTGTAAAAATAAATATAAAAAAAAAACTATTAGTCATAAGATTTACAAACCATTAAGGGGGAGCGACATCCGTGGGGGCAGAGGCATAGTGATTATAAGACAAAAATATCATATATATATTTTTTAGCCTAACACGGACAAAAATATCATATATATATTTTTTATATAATTTCCAAAGGGACATATCAAAAAAGTGAAATGCATAATTTGATCAACTTGGTTTCATAGTAATCTCAAATGTTCTGATTAATTATCTTCCACCATGTGAAACACATGTAAGCTCGATATATTTTAAAATAATAGTATAAAGGAAGATATTATCAATAAATAATACGTTCGATCACTTTCTTCTGGGGATCAATCATTCTTCCCCCATGCCTGCCAAAAGTGAAAGCAATCAATAGGCCAGCATCTGGATTTTCAATAAAATGAGCTGATGTATAAGTATATTAATCCAGATTTTTAATGATACTGTGAAAGTAAGGTGGGGGTATATTTAACCTTCTTTTGTGAAGATATCTACGTATCATGGATGTAAATCTACTTATTATTGGATTTTCGTTATCTTGGAGTTATTTAATTACTTGTTTAATTGACATTTTAATATATTCCCAAATTATTATAATAGTTTTTAAATAAAAAGTCATCAAATTAAGTTCAAGAGAATTGGAAATTAAAACCACCATATATATATGCAAATTTCATATATATATATATATACACACACAACATATACATATGGATGTTGATTCTAGCTCCTTAAATGCAATGCATGTGCTGCTTATGCAACATATTATATTATTTGGGTAATATGTGATTTAAAATTGTTGTTGTAATGTAAAGTAGTAGTAATATATATGTGGGATTAAGTGCATAAAACACTCTTAAAATATGTTTATCGTGCATATCACATTCCTTACGTGCAAAAAAACACTTCTAAAATTTTAATTTGGTACAAATAGATCTCTTGATAAATTTAAATCTTAAGTTAACTAAATTACCCTTATTGTATCATTTTATAAAATATATAAATATAAATAATTTTGTAAAAAGACTGAAATTTATATTATTAGAGAATGTCCTTCTGGTGCAAAAAATACCTATAAAGTTTAATTCAATCTAATGTATATAGGTCCATCGGACAAATTTAAACTCTAACTTAATTAAATTACCTTTATTGAATCATTTTATAAAATATATAAAAATAAATAATTTTATAAAATGATCGAAAATGACACTATTAGAGAATGTCGGCAATGGACAAGTAAGGATAAAAATATAAAATAAAAGTATAAAAGAAAAGTAAAAATAAAAATAAAAAATAAAAAAAAGTACAAACTAAAGAAAATAAAAAAATTTCAAATTCCGAAAACCAGTGCACACTGATATTGGGAAAAAAAATTTTGTTTTTGTTTAATAGTATTGGTATGAAAAAAAAATAAAATAAAGAAAAAAAATTATTAGAAAAAAGTAAACTAGAATCTTAAAAAATTCAAATCCTTATTCTACAAATTCTCAAAGTTAAAAATAAAAATAAAAAATAAAAAAAATAAATAAATAAATAAAAAATTGATTAGAAATATATATATAGAAAAATATTTCAAAAATATATATATATAAGTTAATGTGCACATAACACCCTTCTATACTATGAGATTAGTAGCATATATACCCCTTTGAAGATTTTTGGAAAAGTAAAAGGGCAAAACGGGTATTATAACACTAATTTATGTCGGATGGGGTATTTTTGCACAATGTGAAAAGATTATGAATGTTTTTTGCACATTTTTTTTAAAAGTATTTTTTATCCACTTTTTTAAATAAAAAATAAAAGTGTTACGCGAAATATACTTTAAAAATATTTTCTAGTACTTATCTATGCATGTATGTAGTTATACACGCATATATGCATATGAATGGTGTATCTATTGCCTGGGTACTGTAACGGGTGGGCGCTTGCCCATTTACCCCAAAAGCTCGAACTGTTAGGTAAGCCTGCATACTCACCCATTTATACCCAAAAGCTCGAACTGTTAGGTAAGGCTGCATACTCACCCATTTATACCCAATTTCTTTCCCATCCGATTCCGATGTGGGACAAAATGACCCTTGTTACATTCTCCCCCACCCAAACTCGCAACGCCCTCGTTGCGGTTGGGCCACCCTGCCTACCCGGGATGACTCACCAGGACGCCTTCCGGGCCGGGCGCTTGGCGTGGTACCGGATCAAGGACTGGGTCTGGCTCTGATACCAACTGTAACGGGTGGGCGCTTGCCCATTTACCCAAAAGCTCGAACTGTTAGGTAAGGCTGCATACTCACCCATTTATACCCAATCTCTTTCCCATCCGATTCCGATGTGGAACAAAATGACCCTTGTTACAGTACACTCTCTTTGGAGATGTACGCATGCGAAAGTTATGTGGCTCGTAATAAAATGAGATGTGCCAACCAACAATTATTAAAGTTCTGTGACATGTATATATGACATGCAATGCATGATATATCTGCGTCGTCACGACAGACTATCTGTGTCGTCACGACTTACTACTTACTAGCTATAATATATTCAGTCAAAATTAAGTATCGAAGTCTTTACAGCCATCATGCATATATGGCCTACAAGCTTCGATGGCTTCTCGAGACTTGCCTATATATATATAGTGGCTCTTCAATCATGTATTGAAGAATATGCATATATATATTCAATTACTAATAAATATATAATCTAAAACTCGTACTAATGGCGGATATTCTTAGTGATTTCAGTAGTGTAGATATTCATGATGGCAGCGTCGGTAAGGATGCGGTTGAAGCAGGCAACCTTGCAGCTACAGAACACATCAAGGGAATGGTTTCAGCAGCCAACACGAATTCTGAAACTGGCACTCCTCCACAAGCTCCTCCTCCTCCTCTTCTTACAGAACATCCACTCCTCCCCTTCCCAACAATTACTAGTACTGCAAGGAAAGCCAAGCCTTTACCCCGCCAACGATGGTCCATTTTCAGGGTTCCCGACCACATACGAGAAGTCGACCGGATAGCTTACACTCCCAGGTTCATTTCCATTGGCCCTTTTCATTATAAAGCACCAGCTTTAAAGGCCGTGGAAGGTCGGAAATTGCGGTTTCTTAATCGCATGTTGGAGCGGATCAGCCACCAGAATGAGATCACGCAAGAAGGCCTTAAGGACGCCATGAAAAAATTAGAAGGGAATACAAGAGAATGCTACTCAGAAGAGTTTGAAAATATCAAAAGTGACGAATTTGTGACCATGATGGTACTTGATGGTTGCTTCGTAGTGGAGCTACTGCGCCTGAGTGGCATGAGTTACAAGGTAATACTAATTAATTTTTGCTCATACATAAATTAATAGTTTGATAGTAAAGTCTACGAAATCATTATTATTCTTAATTAATTCTAACATATACATAATATATGCAGAAAGAGCTTGCAGATGATCCTATTTTTGCAACGCGCTCGTTGCCACAGAATCTTGGTCGTGATCTACTGATGCTCGAAAACCAACTGCCTCTGTTTGTGCTTCAAAAGCTATTTGAACTAACAAGCTCAGGTAAAGAAGAAACATCCCTTGAAAGCCTTGCGCTCCAGTTTTTCGAACCATTAAGACTTGGGAAGGAGGCAATTGAAAACCTGAATGTAGAAAAAAATATGTTATACCCACATTTGCTTGCATTATTTCACTCAAGTTTTGAACCCACAAATCCTCATCCTCCACCTACTCCAATCCAGAATTCGAGCACTAGTACACACACATACAGAACATTTTCAGGAAAGGGTTGGGTGTATTCTGCCAAATCACTAAGTCATGCCGGTGTGAAATTCGGGACGAAGCCCGGAAACGTGCTTGACATGAAGTTCAATGATGAGGACAACGTGCTTCAAATCCCAACTTTGTTTGTCGACGACAACACTAGCCCTGTTCTTAGAAACTTGTTGGTGTATGAACAGTACGATAGATGGGCCTCCCCATATTTCTCTTCTCTTGCAGTGTTTCTTAATAACCTTGTGGTCACTTTGGATGATATGGTTATTCTTAAGCAATCTGGTATTATCAGGGCTCATTGTGGTGATGCAGAGTTGGTGAATTTCCTTTACAGTCTCACCAAAGACCTTGCGTTCGACATGGATGATTGCCATTTTGGCAAGATAATTCAGGATATCAGGGGTTTTTATCAAACCAAGACGGTCAAATTTAGACTATTTCGCCGACGCACTCTTAAAAGAATATATAAAAGAATAGTGCCAATATTAATGAATATCACCATAATCTATGTTACCACAATGATATCTGTGTATTATAATAAACCATAATCATAGTCTTCGGTTGGGGCTATGGCATCAGTACTCCTAAGTTTTGGGATATCCGAAAGTACTAGCTTGTATTAGTGTATAAGTTTAAGATGTGGTTGGTGTACTGTTCTCTCTTGTAGCATTTGGTTTCTCTTTTATGATTTGGTTTGGTTGATGATGTACTCTCTTGTATTTTGCTTTGTATATATATATATGTATATATGGACTGCCCTTTTTATGATTTGTTTTGGTTGAATGTTGATGATGTACTCTCTTGTATTAATCGCTTTTGAGATATCTATGTATTTCTCTCTTTTGACTGCTCCTCTTTTTCTTTTCTTTTTTTTCCTGCACAAAATCATGCAACTTTAAAATTATTGAAAAAACTATTGAATTTTTATTGTTTATGTCGTACTTTTCAGATCAAATTGCTATTGGTCCTAAATCTGCACCAATGCAAACAAAAGTTGTACTGGTAAATCTAGACCCTAAATCTGCACCAGTGCACAAAACATATGTATGGTAGACCTTATTTATATACCAATTTAAATGTACAGATATGTGACTTGCTCAAAATTATTTGAAGAGGATCCATTCCTTAAATGAAGAAGGAGCATCCCTAAAAGAGATTTTGCTCAAAAGGATTTAATTTTAAGCCCACGAAGGCTTGGGAAGGATACAAATGCAATTGAAAAGTTTAGCGCTTCCCTTTTACCGTCAAGTACATTTACCTTTTTTTTTTCCTTTTTGATCAAGTTTTCTATTCTCTGTTTATCAGAATTGTCTTTTCCTCACCTCGTTAAGGTTCTCTGTTCCATCAGAGTTTGGATTTCTTTCCAATAGGGTGTTTGGGGGATGGTTGTCCTCACTAATCCCGCCTACAGCTTATCTCTGTTGGCTGGATGGATTGGATCTTGTGTGCTCCTGCTTGTTTCATCGGCAATCTGGAAAGGTGACATACCTGATGACCTATGTTTGCTGATTTTTCCGTTTGATCCAAGTATTTCTACCGTTTTTCTTGGTTTTGTTATGGATCTAATGGTCTTTGTTTGTTGTGTTGTGTGTATTTTCTGTTTGTTTTCTTCTTGTGCTATCCATACGAAAGTCTACCCTCCCTTGGTATCCTTGTATCTCGGACAAGAGGATCGAGTAGGATCCCCGGCCGATTTGTTATCTTGTTCATCAAGCTCACCGGATTCGGTTCACCGTGCCTATCAATGCTTTGGGATACTGTTCAAGCAGGTAGACATGACGTCATCACTGTTGTTGCTTACGTTGCATGACTGGCATATCATTTACGCTTTCGTTATGGACCACATACTCCTGGAAGGTTCTAGTATGGGTTTGCTGGGCCTCTGGCCGTTGGGCTTTATGGTTTCCACTATTGGCATAGTCTTTATTTTTCTATCCATTCCAATAGTGGGATTGGGCCAAGGTGCATCTTTTAACCCACTGACTAATTGGGTTAACTCTATTGAGCCCAAGTCTTTGGTCGGTTATGTCCAGTTTTCGCAGCCTACAATGAATCAAGTTTGGCAATAGCTTTGGCTGGGGTTGATGCCATGTGATGTTTCTGATTTTTAGCATTTTCATTTTTTCAGGATTTTGTCGCCGCAAGGGCATTTTCGTATTTTCACGTTTTGCGTACGGGATTTTAGTTGGGTTTAATTGCATTTCATACTTTTTATTTTATATGAATTATGTAGCATTCCTATAGTGGTGCATTGCATGTATTTGTGTGGTGTGGATTATAAGATAAAAGAAAAAGGGAAAAGAAAAGGACAATGGTAGGACCCACCACTATCACATTTGTAGGCTACAGACCACATTTTTTTTTGGTCTCTTATCTCTCACTCTCCCGTAGCTCTCTCTTCTTCCTCTCTTTTCTTCTTTATTTCATTTTGTTTTGCAACAAACTTTGAATCAAGATTACTCCTTCAATATTTGGAATTTTTGAGTGACGTTTGCGGCTGTACCAGCGATTCAAGCTTTGAGCCTCCCTAGGAATTTTGAAATTCTTGACCCACTTTGAGGGTTTTGCACAATTAAGAGGTAGGGGTCCTTAATCCATGAAGTCTTGTGCTTTAGTGAGTTAATCTACTTGAATTGTGTCTTAGAATGCTTAATTGTGTTGATTTTAGTTTAAAATGACTTGATTCAAATATGTGAACATAAGAGGATGTGTATTAAATAGGTTGTATGAAAAGCATGCTTATATGTTGAGTTCCTATGTCTATTATGATGTTAACATGCTTAAATTGTATAGAATCAAGCCAATTGCTTAGTTGATGTGTATATTTGCTAATTGAGTAATTGTGGTATTAAATGATCTATGTGAAGAACATATCTATGTGTTGATTCTTTATATGTCTATCATGCTATATTTTATTGTATGAAAACATGTTGTAACTCATTAAAAATTCTTATGAATTATGCTTTGCCAATTAAATTTAGAGTGATTGTAGAATGATGGGCATAGACATGATATTGATACATTCATGCATTGATATTAGGCATGAAAAAGAGAAGAATTGTTTTGATATGAAAAAAGGAGGAATTGTTTTGATACGAAAAAGGGGAATTTTTGGGAAAGTGTTTTGATGAAATGGTTTTATGAAAACCCGGTCGTCGCAGAGTCACCAAAGGGCCGGTAGGTTAATGTAACCTAGAGGGAACTAGAAAGACTGCCCTAGCGTGGTTGAGCTATCTGGCCCCATAATGACTGTGATACCCCTCGGATCCGAGACACGGGTTGATCAGGCCCAGGCCCAAACCCGAGGGATATCGAACAATTAATATGTTATAACGAACACAGAATACAAATTGAATTAAGAAATAAAATTTAAGCTGAAAGAAACTAAATATAAATCCTTTAAAAATAAATACTTAAATCCCAATAATATAATTGTTGAAATCCGATAGTCCAAACTCCATAAGTTTAACAACTTGGGAATCCATCTCTAGTGGACCCCTAATAAAAACCAAACTGAATTAAAACAACTGAAAGAACATCCTGATAAGCTATGGAGAGAAATCCTACATCATCGGTAGAATGAGTAGAAACCTCTGCTCAGCACGAACACGTCTAAGTCTGGAACTGTCGTGTACCTGAAAAATAGAAGTGGGTCAGGCCCACGTGCAAGTTCTATATCTCTATAATCCAAACAGAGACCCGATACGCATGTACATCCTAAACAATTCCACAATAGCTAATAGTCCGTAAATATATATATATAGTCATACTAAAGGACTCTCACTGGACTACAGGCCGATCTCAACCTGAATAGAGGTAACATGCTATAACGCACACGAGGTGGGCATATGTACCTAAACCTAAACAGGGTATACCTCTGACCATCGTATCCAGCTATGCATCCCAATGCATATATGCTCCCTAACCGTCGATCCTGAGACTCAAACTCATATCGAGGTACCATAACAATATATTTAAAATCCATCCTGTATCCTAGTAGTGCCGTTCAACAAGTCGTTGCCATGACACTAAAATTAATAGGACTTAACTTTTAGTTAATCCAATTCTTAATCCAGAGTAGGTAGGTCTTGGTATTTTGAAATCAAACCGTCCCTAGTATACTACCGTCCCATACCGATGTATACTATCCAATCATCCAGAGTAGGTAGGTCTTGGTATTTTGAAACCAAACCGTCCCTAGTATACCACCATCCCATACTGGTGTATACTATCCAATCATCCAGCAGTTGATAATATCAACAATTAAAGTAGATCTCAACTGAATCCATATCTCCATCATAGATACAAAAAGTATAGTTTAAGTATCAATAAACAGAATCAGCTATATACACAAACATGTTCAATTGTATATCCAACACTGCTACTAACAGTCATAATGTAAGCATCAAGAAATATAGTCACCTTATATATACAAACCTACTCAGTTTAGGTTGTTTCGTTAAATATGATATAATGAGAGAAGTATTTCAAATTATCATTCAACACCTAACAGTTGATATTACAGACATTTAGAGTAAACATCAACAAATTCCATTCCCCCAACAGTTGATACTAACAATATCATTACAAGCATCAAGACAGAATCACAGTATTTATATATACATGCTTAGTTTAGGTTGTTCTACAAAATTCCATTAGTGTTAAATTTAAAACTTAATTCCATTCAACACTAACACATCCCACCCATGTATAATTCAAATACATGATCATGGTACACAGTTAAACATGTTACAATTATATTATCAGTCTCAAAAGATTACTTGTGCAGGGAATTAAACTTTACTAGTTTTCCAAAACCAAACACAATGTAATTATCTGATTAATTCCTCTACTGTCCAAGCAATTCCAGGTAATTAGATTAATTAACACTACATCTGGAGCCTTAATTCAACCATATGCTTCAATTAGAGCTTCCACATCCAGTCCTAAACACATCTGAAAACTCCAGAAAACATCACTGCATGCAAAAACTAGCAGAAAAAAAAAAAAAAAAAAAAAAAAAAAAAAAAAAAAACTGGAGCAAGAGCCTGCTCCAAACAAGTGTGGAGCCGGCTCTTTTGCCCTTGGAGCCAGCTCCCTCACCCTTGGGAGCCGCCTCCCATCATAGGGAGCCGGCTCTCTCCAAGGGAGAACCGGCTCTCCCCTTCTCTGCCTCGTCTCTTCGCCTTCTGTCTCCGTTTTACACCTCTGCTACCTCACGCCATAACTTCCAGAGGCTGTAACCCAATCCCAGTACACTCCCAATCCATGCTTAAGTCCAGTTAACATTACATACATAGCTTTAAACAGGGATTTATGCAAGCAAACATTATGTTTTTAACAGTTTTACAAAGCATAAAAACATATGACAAGTTTCAGTTTAAGCACGAACAGAGAATGTTTTTAATTGATTCCATTAATCCTAAAACTGTTTAAGAATGCAAAGAACACGAAGCCTAAGGGAGAGAGTAAGGATAGAACTTGCCTTACACCGACATTCGTCTATATTTTCCAGCGAATCATTTATTAATTCTCAGTTTTCCTTCACAACCGTCTCCAAACTTTCTGTGTCTTACTATGGCGTAATATTGTTCTAAAACCCTAGGCAGACATCTTAGACGAGTATTTATAAGCCACACTAATCCTAGGCTCTCTCAACCCTAATTGGATTTACACGGCCCATCGAGAAAACTAGGTTAATCAATGTCGGCTACTTATGTGAATACTCTATATGCAACCAACCTTACAGTTACGTTAACAACAAAATAAATTACATTTAATTAAATAAGGTA